CTTGCCGAAATCAGGAGAAACCAGGATTTTCCATTATTCTTGTGATCAAGGAAAAGTAAATTTAGAGATTTTTGTTCTCAATGTAACTGGAGGAGGTGGACTGAAGCTTACTCATTGATCTGATTCACTCAGTGGATTAAATAATACAAGACCAAGTTACCTCTGTACACATCTTCAAGATATTACATTTCAGGTGACGATTTATTTGTGTTTTAAGGAGATGAAAAAGTGCTACAGCAAAACATTTGCACAGAGAGCCAAAAGTGTTTGCTTCCTTATGTATCTGACATTCACCTTCAGGATGCTAAAAAGTCATTATAGGCAAAACACACATTTTTTTAAAGCTTTGTTTGAAAGTGAGTGAGTTTATTTTCACTCGGCGCCATACAGCCTGGCTCTAGGTGTGTGAGTGTGGTGTGTATTCAGTAACAGATCTCCAGGATTAATAAAGCGTTAAACAAATGAGGGGCATATTTACCGAAGCTGAAAGTAGACAGGCAGGTTCCATTTGTTGTTGAAGCTGGTATACGAAGGATGAACTCTCAGTCTCTTCACACTGGCCTGAGAACTGCACTGCTGCTCGAAACGCCGGACAAAGTCCATGCTAACGCTGTAGCGCTAAGACACGGGGGAAGAAGTACAGATCAGATCTTGAAGTTTATGGAAGACGCCAAACTTCTGCTATAGAGCGTTTTGAACAAAACGCCAGAAATATTTGCATACCTCGTAGAATATCTCAGGGTTTCCAGGGTTGAAGATGTAAGCCAACCTTTCCTCTACTCCTCTGATCATCTCTGGCCACACAGAGTTCACCAGAAAGTCATAACCTGGCACTGTATCAGCCTTGTCACTGAGGGCGAAAAAAGGCCAAATGAAAGCTGTTTTCACTGGTTTACCAAGTTGTTGTCATTATTAAGAGTATGTGGGGGGGTTTTTTCGACTGGAAAAAAAATAAAAATAGAAAATGCACAGCAAGTAGTGCCTACTAACCAACCAAATTTTTGTATTTAAAAAATACAAAAAGAATGACTTCATGTCTAATTTATTCTAATTATAATAATACCTGGATATAGCTCCTCCAGTCACCTCTCGAAGCAGTCTGCAATGGTGAGGAACAAAGTCCAACAGTCTGGAGAACATCAGCTGAAGACCGCTCGGACTGGACTTCACAACTTCTTCTGCTATAACCTGGAAAGAGAAGAAGACACATTTATCCAGCCTGCTCCCAGGTACAATATAAAATTAAGCTAAGGTCAGGTCAAAGATGTGCACCTGGTCCATGTATGGTTTGACCAGCACTTGTCCCACCAAAGCCTCTGCGTCTCGGGTTTTGTCTATGGTGGCGTACGTCCTTAGGCAGTGGCGCACCATGTCCACGTTTGACGTCTGCAGACCCTCGATCAACAGGCCCTCCAGGGACTGCTGCAGCATGGAGGTGATCCCCGCAATGCGCTGCCAGAACACAACAAACTGCATCTAAATCAGAGGCCACCACTGCTTCTTTTTTTTATAGAACTTCAACAGACACATGAAGGCTTTTATGGGTAATCAGGACAGACAAAAAGAGAATCAAGTCATTCGATCAAGTAGTAGAGAGGTTATTAGTTCATCTATTGTCTCTGTAATTAACCGTATGACACTTACAGGTCTGACTTTGTCAAGCAGGGGCATGCCTTTGCTTTGCACAGCGTGAAACTGAAGCTGGTTGAATTCTGTTGCAATCCGCTCCAGGATCTGGCCCGCTAACAAAGGGCTGTTCACACACACAGACACACCATCACTCATGGGGACATACATATAACCAAGCTAAGCAAATATTAACCTCCAACACTTATTTGCCTTCCGCAAAGTCAGTAGGAAATTAATACTGAATCAATATCATTACTGTAATAGAAGCCTTGTATAATTTTGGACAGCATCTTCTGTTTGTAAAGTGTGAACCATGCTTTGTTCATCAATCTACAAGAGCTCGAATGGAGAGTCTGTTCTGTTTTCCACCTGCTGATTTCCAGAGAACTGGAGTCCTTTGAGCTCTGCGAGTGGAGAATCTTCTCAATCTTCTCCACCGAGCGAACCACCTGAATCAGCCTCAGTACGCACACCTGAGGGGCAAAAACGAAAACGGATCATTTCACAAAGTGGAGACGCTCCACTTTATTAACTAATTAAGCAGTAGAGAAGTAGAATCCACAGAGAGTATCAGTGTCTTTTCATTTTTTTTTCTAACTGAATTTGCCCAGTTTGCCGCAGACAACAGATGACTGTATTACATTACAGATAAAGATCAGATATTAGGAAACGAATCCAAACCTTTTTTTTCTGCAGGTCTTCCTGTTTGGACAGTTGGTTATCGATGGCCTGGATCACTTCACTCACACAGGAACGCAAACTCTGCCAGAAAGTGGGAAAAAAAAAAGAAACATATTTTGAATTGACTAAAACACACAGAACAAAGAAAAGATCAAAGCTTATTATTTATTTAATTTTTTTTATGGTTTCTTACCATAACCTCCTCTCGTAACTGTCCCAGTGGCACCGAAAGCTGATTAAGGGCTTTGTCCATTCCCACCTGAGATGATAAATAGTACTCACAACAGGAAATATCTACTTTGAAACACATATAATTCTACCTAACATCTATGTGAGGTGAGTTTATAATTTCAAGGTGTAGAATTTGTATCCAAACTTAATTGCTTCTGATGAGCAGAAGTCAGAGTCTGATGAAGATTCATCATGCCTCAATGCTCTCGATGCTGTAGGAAGTTCTCGAAAACACAGTGAATTTAACATTTCACTGGTAAATATAGATTTTTGATCAGAGCAGAGGGGGACAGATGAGGCCTGTGTTCATTCGGACACGCTCGGATAACGTGAGTGATGGGCAGATTGATGTTTCACTGAGCGTTTCTTACATTCTGATAACGACATGGAAACTGATCATTTATTGCTCAATAGCGACATCTGCTGGATCCCCGAAATCATCGCAGACATCCAAGACAATTGATCTTGATTCACTCATTCTGGCATGTGGACGCCCAATGACAGATGATCACTTTATATAAGTGATTGCTATTAAGTGACAGCTGGATGACATATATTACAATTATTTTTGAGTTATGACAAACATAGTCTGTCAAATGCAGAGCTGATGAAAATATTTTTTGGAAGGAAGTTAAAACAAGTAACTCTAGTTGAAGGTTTTGTTTAGATCATTTTGGGAAATATAGCAGGTTGTGAAAGTTAAATGGTCTTTGTACATTGATATGAGGGCAGAGAAGTGCAAATAAAGTTTCATCCCCTTCTTTGAAAATAAATTCAAACACGTTTAAACGTTTCCTAATGGCCACTTTTAGGCATGAAAACAATCTGTACTATTTACTGTGATTGTTTTATTAGTTTCAAATGAGCAATATATTCCACATTAGGTCATGCTTTTTACTCTAACACTATTTGTGTTTTGTGTATTTTTGCAAAACAAAAAAATATATATAATAATGATTAATCAACTTAAAGTCTTTACTGTAATATTAAATTAAATTAAGTGTGTTTTTTTTAACTTATGGTTAAAGAAAACATATAGATTCCACCATATATACAATGTAGAATCTATGAGGAAATATTCTATGGTACCCAAGTTTGTGTTCTCCAATTAGATTTAAATGTTTCATTGCAGCCACACAGAAAACAAGTAAAATCTTCTGAAAGAAGAAAATTTAATTAAAAACATGACAACAACGAGAAAAAAATAACAATAAAAATGCAAATCAATGCATTGAAAAGATCCTTGATCTGTTGCTGTGTCACCAAAATGTAACTTTTTGTGTTATTATTAGCAGTGGTCATCACACATGTATTTATATAAACTGCCCTGTTCTACCAATCTCTTTCCATCTGACAGTGCAACGCTGGACGTGTAGCGAAAACAACTCACCAGGTTGGTAGAGAGGTTGACAAAATCTGCATAATCCTTGTTGATGAGCTCCACCATGGCTGTTTTCAGCAGTTTGTAGTACATCTCCAGGTCTTCTCTCATCTCCTCCAGCTGGACCTGCTTTCGACACTCGGCCACAAATTGGTCCACGTCAAAATCGTCCTGGAGGCAACAGCAGAAAATGTGAGTGGCAGTTCTAACACACATAAAAATAACTAAGCTTTCTTTTGTTCATACAAAATTCTCAAACTAAATGGTATTTCAGTGGGATTATATTATAGACAAGAAATGGATACAAGCTTTTCTTTTACAAATTGTGTGACATCCATTTGTCTTTAGTCCCCTTTAGTCAATTGCAGCTGTTATTACAATAATAACTATTATTACAGTAATAACAGCTGCAAGTCTTTTGGGGTGTCTGTAGCATTTTCGCTGAATTGCATAGAGAATACATAAATGTTCAGATTATGCCTCAGATTCTCCATTAGGTTCAGCTCAGCTTTCATAAAATCAGAATGAGGATAGTGCATAGTTGTAAACAATGTCGTACAACTGCTTTTAAAAAATATAAAATAATATTCAGTGATGAAGAGTAAAAGTTAAAGCGGTGTAGCTACTTTCGGAAGGCAAAGTAAATAGAAGAGATCATGAGAACATCAATATTTAGTCCTTTACTTAAAACATATTGGTTGTGATAAAACAGGTGAAATAAATTAAAACCGCAGGCATGTGTACTTTTTTTTGGACACAGTATCAAAAACAAATCTCTAAACATCAACAGTTAACATTAAACATCGACACTTGTCCTGTTTAATGTTAAAACTGCTTGGCAGGTGCTAACCGTAGCTCTCGAGATAACGCGAGTTTAACAAACTCTCACCTTCATAAATACATCTTTATCGAAGCACAGAGAATCTGGTCCTTTCGGTAAATTCATTTTGGATCTTAAACGACAGCTCAGCACAACATTCGCGGATAAAGATGACAAACTGTCGGGTTAGCTGCTGCGGCGGAGCTTCCGCAAACATGGCACTTCCCGTGATACCACGGCGCCCTCTAGAGGCCGGGGGGTCTTCAGACGCCATTGAGGCGGTGAGGAGCGTTGTCCTGTCGCTTTACGGAGAGTTTGCTGTATTTACTTGCAATAAGTTAATTTTCTTCACTTTTGAATTATCGTGGCAACTCAAATACACTTCTGCTCTGCTACAAAAATTGCCTGGTCGTAGATAAATACGGGTAGATACCGAATTTGCTAATGTTCAAACATACGTCTTCGTGTCCGCCATCTTAGGTAGGTCAACGTTGGCAGCAGACGATTAGAGCAGCTCTTGTTGTAAACGTGACCACATCCAGAAATGCCGGTGTCCTGTTCAGCTTATGGCTGCAAAAACAGACGAACCATTCTAAGTAAACATCGAGGGATAACTTTTCACCAGTGAGTTGACGTTTGTTGTGTTTCAGTATGGTCTGCCGTTTTAAATGTAATTTAAACTCTCAAAGACATTATAGACATGCTTTGATTTTTGTTGCCAAGCAAAACATGCTCTCACGTTGTTAACTATATGCCCACTCACCGAATTATTGCTCTAATTAGAAGTAAATCTGTCATTACTTTGTTGATTTTTAAAGGTTCCCCAAAGATCCTGGGCTCAGAAAAGCCTGGATCTTAGCATTCAGAAGACTGGACTTCAAGCCATCCAATAAAACTGTCCTCTGCAGTGATCACTTTATGCAAGCTGATTTTGACAGAACTGGTCAAACTGTTCGATTGAGGGAAGGTGTTATCCCTTCTGTTTTTGCATATTTTCCAAATCATCTAAAGAAGGTTAGTGCATACATTTTTTTTTTACAGATATGCCACCTCATTTTAATTTATTTTTTTTCTCACTGATATATCTCTGTTTTCAAATCTGAAGAGGCCCATTAAAGCCAGGTCATCAAAGACATCAAGGCGTGCATTGGAACCAATCAAGGATCCCATCCCTGCTCCCAAATGTTTGGAACCTCCAAAGCCTGCAGTCTATGTAAGTAAAGTATCATGCAAAAGCTTTCAGACTTTTACTTCAAATCTACAAATGTCAACATATTTTATTTGCATTATATTTGATTCACTTGCAGAGTAGAACATAAACCAAAACGATTCAGTTTTAAAACAGTTTCTTTCTTAAAACACAAACAGTTCACAGCAATTTACAGCAAAAGTGTTGCTTTAGTCAACAAATCTTTCCTTCTGTAGGATCATCACTATGCTCTGGATCCTACTCAAGTAAAAAAAAAGCTGTCTGACGCTCAAGCACGGATCGAGGAGCTGGAGCGACAACTCAGAAATGCAAAGGATCGAGAAAGGAGACAGAAGCAAGTTTTAAAGTCACTCCTGGAACGATTAGAAGAAAGAGGAATGCTATCAGAGGCAATAGAGATCGAGCTGCTCCAGGAATCTGGTAGGTCCAGTGATCAGCTGTAAAGACTGTCAGTTCCTAGGAGAAAACATAAAACACTTAATTATCTTCTACCACATGTTTGACCATCATTACAATGAGAGGAATGAGAGGTGAGCTCCATGACGTCATCTCTTTAAAAATTATTTCTTGAATTATGAAAACACTGAACAAAACTGGGATCATATCCGGTTCCTGTGATGTTGAAGACATTCCAGGGCAGCCTAGGCTTAACTCTTGCCCCCACCAGGCTAAGCATTGCTTATTTATTTTGGTCTTTTTACATTTGCATTTGCATTTTTTAAGATCTTATAGTTGGTGTTCATTTATTTATCTTCCAATCTTTCAATAACACATAATTATCAAGTGATATTTTCAAATTTTCTGTCAACTTTAAACATTTTTAACTCAAAAACAAAACAGGCCACACCCAACCACTGGGCTTTGCAAGTTTTCTGGGGTAAAACGTTGCTTTCCCTTTAAACCCAGTGTAAACAGCAAGGGGTAGTGTGTTAAGTACCCCTTGCTGTTTAATGTACCGGTACATTAAAAGTAAAAGTACTTTACTTTAAAAGTAAAAGTACTTTTTGATAGTTCATTAAACCTGCATAGTTCTTGCAGTAACAAATATGGGACAGATTAAGTGAACCAGTGTCTGGCCAGAGCACATCAACTCTGCTCTTTACTTTATTTCACAAAGCATTTCTTAATCACAAACATATTTTTTGTCTTTGTCAATATTACTAGAGATAAGGAAAACGTCTTTTTTGAAAACATCTCTGCCTGAATAAAAACAAAGCACATGATGGACAAGTAACAAGCTCACTGTCATTGGAAAGTTTGAGTTTTAATTTTGTTCGGTACCTGCTTCGTGTAAAATTCTTCATTTTACGCTCGATTGACCTTTTTTTTTCCATTATTTTGGTTCACTGGCAGATTGACACGTCAGGCTTCAAGCGATCAGGGGGATCACACCGCTGGACAAAAGTTGTAGACGTCTTGAAACCCCAGCTGTGCTCTCCGCAAGGTTTATTTGAATGTATTCACCACTCCGCCTCAGAAAGATGATCACTCATTTCAGCCGGCAGAAATTCTGAATAAAAAGGGATGATTGTAAACTTCAAGCCTGTTGACTGGAAAAGACTCTTGGACAAATTTAATAAATCTATGGTTCTTGTTTTGGACAGTTCATGATTTAGTGTTTTGTGAGATGTGATGAATAATAATATATGTTCTGAGTCAATGTAATCTAGAAGCTGTCGTTTTTAATCTGAGATTAAATGTCTTTGCATATTTCTTTCCCGTCAGTTTCAACTTGCATGTGATCACATATTAAAACTCTTTTTGGTAAAAAAAAAAAAAAAAAAAAAAAAAAAAAAGCGTATGTGTTGTACAATGTTTGTGAAAATTTGAGGCTTCTGGAAATCTCATTCAATTACGTAAATCCAGATTATTTCAGAAACTTAATTCACTAATTCATAGTTTTATTACATACTAGCAGATTTTTTCATACTGTTAGTTCTTCATTAGTTGTAAAAGACATTTAAGATTAGAAAATGACATCAAATCAATAAACACATGTTTAATGCAGGGATGTGGGGTTATTGAAAATCATTAAAACTTGCTCAAAGGTTGTAATAGTCAAAAGGTAACTTAATCTGTCAAACCACATCTAAACGCATATTCAAATTGATTGAATATGATTGTATTTGTGTATTTTAAAAGTGATTGAGTTTTTGAATAATTCTAGATTCTTTCTCCATAATTTAAAAATATCACGTATTTCTTTAACAAAATACTTGTTTTTTTTGGTTTGTGACACTTTTTGACCTCAGTCGGTTGAGGGCAACATAAAGAGGTACTTCATTCTGAAAACATTAAGTCATTAAGTACACTGTTTTACTGTTGAAAGTAATCATTAAGTAATATTTTTGTGGTTTTGTATTCATTTATGAAATTGACCTAAGGCAGAAAAATCTTAGTCACATTTACTGTATGCATTTTAATTATTTTGATGTTTAAACATACATATCAGAATAATTAACAGTTTTTAATTTGAATACATAGTATGTATTATTTACTTAATTTATGGGGGGTTGTAATTACTGATAGTATTCAACAAATCTTTAATGGATGGTGGCACTTTTGGCAATGTTTTTGCTGTGTGGAAGATCCGTGCCGTATGTATTATCTTAAATTGATTATTTCATTATTTATACGGGCATTTATAAGGATGTATCTTGGGTGTTTTGTGTATCATGATACACAATATTCCCTGATATATTCGACGTGCAGGTATTAATGCAACCTTTTTGTGTGGCTCGTCAAACGCTGGAAAAACCGAGCGACTTTCATAACATAATATTAATAATATTATTATTTTATTATTATTTACCCCACGGGTTATGAGTGCAAGTCCTCCTCTCGGTTTGGATCAGGAAATGTGATCTCATTGGTCGACGCCGGGGGGATTCATTGTCAGGTGATGTGGAGGCAGACGGCTCGTACTACTCCTTCTGCTCCTCGGTGGAGAGCGCGGACCGCCGCTCTGCCAACCCGGATGCTGAGCTCTGCCCAGTGCGCAGCCCTGTCGGCACAGCAAGGGGCGGAATTATTTCCGGACCTTTGAAGCGCAGCTTTCCCCCACCGGCTGCTGAGTCGTCTGGCCGCCAGGCTCTGCATCCGAGCCGGGAGAGGAAGGTGGATTTAAACGCGCGGCTCACCCCAGCGCACGGTAAGGGCGCCGCTGTCACGGTGAAGGCACGCACACACGCATCCGCGTTTCCTGCAAGATCTCGGCAGATCGTGACTACCTGCACGCCAGGAAAGCCGTAGTGACAGACCGAGGAGGAGAGGGAGAGGGAGGAAGAGGAAGAGGAAGAAGGGAAGCGGGGTGGGGGGAGAGGAGCATCACTGCTGAGGGAGATGGCCGAGTGCGGGCGGAAGGCGCTGTCTCTCCTGGAAGCGGCCCGCTCCCGGTATGAGAGCCTGCAGATATCCGACGACGTGTTCGGCGAGTCCGGGGACGACAGCAGCGACAATCCCTTCTACAGCACCTCGGGGGACTCCGACTCCGACAACTACATGGCAGAGGCGGGCGAGCAGGAGCTGCAGCACCATCAGCACCACCGCCACCCAAAGCGCGGGGACAAGGACTGTGGCCACAGCGGGGGGTCTGGCGGAGGGTCCGCCGGCGGGAGCAGCGGGCCCCCGGGCTCCCTCACCCGGAGCCAGGCGGAGGAGGAAGGCTGGACGGAGACGCTGCAGGACGTCACGGTCCCGCCGTACAAAGAGACATACGGTGAGAGAGACGTGATTCACGATGAACGAATAAGGTCGTGTGTGCAGTAGAGGAGGAACGCCTCCTGTCTTTAAGGTGCATGGAAACACATAGTGCAGGTTTCAGGTCAGACAGGCCGTTTCTCTGACTCTTACGAAAATGTAGGGCAGCGATAACGCAACCGACCGCACCGCACCGCTTCCATCCCATCCATGCGCGTCGGAGAGGAGCGTGACACCGCGCACTGTTGGGTTAATGACACGCTCAGCCTTTGATACTTCACCCCTCAGTGCTCAGATACACACGCTGCTGAGTTCATGTTTGATTGCAGTGCGGAGGGACATGCTGTGTAATTTAGAGAAGCAGCAGGGGGCTTCATACAAACTGTCTTATTTATTCATAGGGGAATCAGATAAACTGGAAAGATTAATGCCAGTGCTTAAATGATTTCCAATTACATAATCCCACAAGTCAGTAAGTAGTCCTATGTGCACACGCCTTGTCTTACCGTTCAGTCAGTCAGAAGTTATTGCAATCATTGTGAAGTTCACAAGCTGTGCGTGTTGACCAATGAGGCGTCAGGGCCTAATGGAGCTGCAGTGACAGGAAATAAACCATGAAATAATTATTTAAATACTCTATTTTTTTAATTCTATTCATTTAATGATGCAATTATAACGTTTATTTATTACACATTAGAAAAGTTATGAAATTATTTTCTTTTTAATGTGCTCCTTATTTCTGAATATTTTTTTTGTGCTATATTTTTTTATAATTGAAAAAATATGTTCTCTTAATAAATGCTACGCTACGTGGTTCTCAGCGATGTTAATTTTAATTCTATGTATAGGCGCTTTTTAGCACTTGCTACAAGCCTGGCTCAGTTTTCTTTGCAAACTCCTGCGAAGAGAAAAGGAGACTTCGACGTGTGTGACTGAGAACAAATCCAACTGCTCCGTCCATCCCTTTCAGTTTCTGTCTGTTTAACCAGGGCAGCAGGGAATGCCAGTCTGTATCCACAGTGATAGAGCATTGCTGCAGCTTTGGATGCAGCTGCAGCATGTGGCTCTGGAAGATATGAACCAGGCCTGGCTGTGCTCGTGGCCTGTTTATTGACTTTTTACAAACGAGAACCCGGCACCGGGTAAAGTGCAAGCAAAGCAGAAGTAACTTGCTTGCAGAAAAAAAAAAAAAAATCCACCTTTTTTATGATTAGAAATGTAAGAGTGCATGTGGGTTTTTTTAAGCCAATAACCAGAGGTCCCATGGAGATAAGGAAAGCTACAGGATGCTTCGTACTTCTCACATCCTGGAGTGGGTGTGGTGTCGCTCTTTAGTTATTGTATGGTAGCGCCAGGTGTGTCTGCCTGTTTTAGTCTGAGGTGGATTTGTAAAAGAATCACATTCCACGTCTGTTTGGACAAACATGGCAAACATGGGTTTTGGCCACTACTCTGTGTAGATAAAAGTAAAAAAAAAAACAGTTTTCAGAGTTAATAATCTTGAGCACCACTGGTCTGAACGTCGGTGAATAAATATGCATCTGTACTGACACTGACGGCATCAACAGCTTCTAAAGTCGGCCAACGCTGCAGTAAAGGGAGATATAAATACGTCTGGACTGCTCTGCCTGTCTGTGCGCCTGTCTGGCTACATATTTGTCACTTGCCTGCCCATTTCTCTGTCAAGGTGAGCTGCCCGTCACACAAACACACTGCGGATGTGACAGCTCCACTCTTTGGACGCCGTGTCATGCGTTCATAAGTTATCGGCTCCTGTCAGAACATATTCGCTCACAAACCGTATGCAAACCCTAGATGGTTTGTTCTGGTTTGCAGCAGAAGGCAGGTGCAGAACCAGGGGAACACTCAGGTCAGGTTTTAGTTGGTTTTCACGGTTCATACTCGGGTCAGAATTTGTTTTCTTTGCATAGAAAGGCGTTTTGAAACCCATATCTAAATCTTTAGATTATACAAACAATTTAGGAAGTCGGAGTTCACTCACTTACTTGTATTCTGTTAGACTGCTTCTCCTCACCATATGCTAAGTTAAACACTAAACACTAAATAAGAACCCGGTACCGGGTTCTCATTTATCCCCGTATCCTTCTTAATGAGTGTATGCAGTCAAAACAATAAACAATATTTCTAAATGTCATTCTGTCTCCAAGTTGATGCAGAGATATAAATAATTATATAAAGGTTTTTCAACTTCAGTGGGCTATTATGAAGAGAAAATCTATACACATATCAATATGAAAGTCAGACCATCTTAGTTTATTGTAGAAAACCCTGTCGGCGATGACGGGCAAAAAATAATTTTCAGTTCTTGCCTTTTGCTCCTCAGCTGAGCCTGAACCATGTTCAGTTTAGTGAAGGATTTATGCGCTGCAAATATAGTGTAATCTCCGACTGGGTAATCCCTGGATGTAAAAGCTCTCTATCAGGCAGATGTTTGTCCTCCAGCAACTGGAATAAGAATATCAGCTGATCATCAGGTAGGATTTTGTTCGATCTGGGATTCGAGTGGATTTGGTAGCAAATAATTTAGAAAACACACATTTTCAATCCCCGGTTGACAAATATTAGCCAATGGTAACAAACAGCCGGTTAGACTAATAAACAAGATGGCTGTGCTTCAGAGGAGACCAGATCTCAGAAGAAAAGATGGAAACATCTGCTTTCTGATATTTTTCCTACTTTATGCTGGTCTGCGAATTAAAGTCCAAATAAATTGTTTGCGGCTGTGGCATGTAAAACGTAAAAATGCTACAAGGGGTTGAATATTTCCAAAGCCATTTCTCTACGTTTTTGTTTTGCCCTTTATAGAAAAAGTGCCTCTACGTCCTGCTTAGATTTACATTAAGCTTTAGAGTTTAGTTGGATTTAAATGAGTTTGGTTTTGAGCCAGCCTGCCCCTATTTTGGCAATCTCCTCTGCAAGCGCCAGCCATCTTCTCACCATTGTTCCCGATTCTCTCTTGTCCACATCCTGTTTCCTCCAGGCCCACAGCGATCTAACGTCTTGATGGTGTTAGCTTTAATTGTACCTTAAGAGGCTAACCCAGCTGATGCAAACCATTCGGAAAGCCAGGGAAGCGATCCAAGGAGAACTGTTGCTGTCTGCTGTTTAGAGATAATGAGACATTGGTGTTCAATTGAGCTTGACGTTGTTCCACTCAATTTCCAATTTTTTTTTTTTTTTTTTTTTCCAAAGCAGTCAACAAGGACAGAGAAAATCTTTTACTGAGAAGAGCCAGTAAAAACCAGACAGAGTGTTATGGGATGTTAGTGTATCTGCTGATAGTTACATTTATTTCTCCTAATTTGAAGCTTCACCCTTACAGAGCACATCATACTATGAAAAATAATTTAGCATTATTTTATATATATTATTAGAATAGTGAAGAATATGTTGAGTATTTTTCTTCTTAATCCCATTAAATTGAATTTGTAATTGTGTCTTATTTGAACCATTTCTATATTGATCCTTTTTTTCTAGTCATTTGAACCATTTCAGATAGTAATTGCAGATCAGCACATGAGAAAAATATATTATTATCATATGCAAATATAACTGGTTTAAGAATCTTAGATACTTTGCATACTTTATTATATAAAACTAACAATTTGGTTCCCAACACTGAGCCCTGAGGGACTGTAGTTTATAGTGTTTAAAGCCTTAAGCTGAAAAGAAATATACAACAATCAGAGCAAAACTCAAATGTGAGCTGAGTAAGGCTGCGATTATTTATCAATTCAAATCTGAAATCATTTACTTATTTTTAATATATCTTATATAATGCTTCTACTGTTTTTGCTTTGAACTGTGGCAAATAGTGTAAAAATCTATTCGAAGTTGGTTTCTGAGCTGTGAACAATTAGCCACCTTTTATGTTATTTAAACTAAGCTATTTTACTCATTATGTCTAAATGGACATTTTATCTTTGTTTTCTCTGAGATAAGGGTTATATTTAACCGCAGCTGTAGCTTTCCAAGCACTCTTCTCTATATAAATCACCTAATCAGTGGATATGTTTGTTTGCTGTGTCTGTTTGCTTGACTAAATGATGAATACTGTACTCCTGTTCCAGCATTACGATCTTTTATCAGCCAAAGCTTTATTGGCAGATGTCAGAAGCCTGATTCAGCTACTTGGGGTCGCGGTTTTGACTCATTTCCTGCCATAACAATAAAGCAACGAGACACTGAGGCCTTCCGCGAGCAGAGAAACAACAAACTGACGCTCGCCACAGTGCGGCGGCTGTCAAGTCTTCTTAACTTTCCAGCCACGGCCCATGGCCTCTGACGTTCATACCAAGAGCTGACACGGTTCATTCATAAAAAAACCCAAACTGTTTTGATGTTGTTTTTTTCTCTATTTTTGAGGCAACATTGTGCTTTATGTCAACAAGAAGCACTTTGCGTTTGTTCTCTGCTTAAAGAATGACGGCTCACTTTATCCTGTCACTGTGTCAAAAAGAGAAACGTTTCGTCGAGCAGAAGAACCAAACTAAAGCCTGTTTCTGAACTTCGAGAGCTGAGATTGACCGCTGTGCCCGATAGCAAGCTGATGTCAGGCTTCCTGTCGGTCTGTTTCATTTGCTGCAACATTTCGCTTTGTTTTCCTTTTGGTCTCCTTCCAGGACCCGCTCAGAAGATACCGGCCTCTGCCACTGCCTTGGACTTTTTCCAGCTCTTCGTCCCAGATAACTGCATCCAAAACATGGTCACCCAGACAAACATGTATGCCAAGAAGTATCAGGAGCGCTTCGGCTCCGAAGAAGGCTGGTGTCCCGTCACGGCTCAGGAGATGAAGGCCTTCCTGGGCTTCGTCATCTCCACCAGCGTGCACCGCTGCGAGTCGGTGCTCAGCATCTGGAGCTCGGGCTTCTTCAGCAACAGAAGCATCGCCTTGAAGATGAGCCAGTCGCGTTTCGAGAAGATCCTCAAGTACTTTCACATCGTGGCTTTCCGCCCGTCCCAGGGGAGCAATCAGGGCCTTTACAAGATCCAGCCGTTCCTGGACTCGCTGCAGCAGTCGTTCAGCTGCACCTTCAGGCCCTCGCAGACACAGGTACGTGCAAGTCGTCAGATCATCTGCTGACGTTTCTATTCTTCATTCTGCTATAATGTGAGGAGCCAAAGTGCAGTGAAAATGTTTAGAAATGATTCTGCTAAATGAAGTGTCATTTAACAGAATCATGTTAGCTTTTGTGGGTCAGTGAGAAACTTATTGGACAGCTAACACTGAGCATTATGCTAATTAGTTCTCCAAGTTGCGAGTTTTCATCTGTGTTTAAACACACGATCCAATTTTCTGAACTGCAGTCAAAGTCAAATTGGAGATAAGGTTATATTTAGATATAAAACAGTAGTTGTAGAAGTGTTTAAATCAGATTGTTGCCAACTCAGCAGTTTAGATACTGTTTAACCTTTTATGAGCAAATATGTGAACTTTTAAATTGAAGCAAGGAATGCCCCACTTCCATTTAAAATGAGACAATGGAAGGGCTTTGCTTGAAGCAATGTGAATCTCACTCTGAAAACCATCCACATATTAATTATGTAGGAAAGCCAGTTTTGTTTTGTTTTATCTGGCTTTTCCTCCAAATTCTTTTTTATTTTTGGCTTCAGTTTGGACTCACTTTTTCCAACTGGGTCAGTAGTGAACTATTTTTACTTTCTGTTTTGGGTCGCCAGGAAATGTGTCCAAAACTTTCAGCTACTGATGAGCAGCACTGTTGGGGAAGAAGTCCAACAGTGCTGCTTTTTTTTTTTTTTGACATTATTGACAGTTTAAAATGTGAGCATTGTCTCATTTGTCTTGTATAGTAGATAATAGCAAAACCCTGCTTTACAGTGATCGCTCCCTCACGCTCATACAATCTGCTTGTAATGTAAATAATCAATAATTGCTGTTTGCTGGTCAAATCTTCAGAGAATCAAAGATCAGAAATCCACCATCAAATTCAGATCAGGTTTTTGCAAGCGTGGCCTGTTTGTGTGATGTGTGGCATAAAAGCACTCCTTTTGCTTCAAGTGAAAATGTCGAACCTTTTTGACGCTGTTGATATATTCTTGATAATATTTGACGGTGATTCTTTTTGGTATGAAACAGCAGAAGTTGCACTTTCTAGCAAAAAGCCTGGCCTTCAAAAGCAACTGGCCTTCAGCTAAAACCCACACATATGGTTTTATTTATTGAAATTTCGCATTAATACAAATTACGGCAGCATTGAATTTCTCTTTGGAATCAATATAGTATTTTTGAATTTAAATATGACTATGAATTGTCATTTCATACATGTACAGAAAAGTTTTTTTGTTTGTTTGTTTTTTTTATTCAGGCGGCCACTGTCGCAATGAGAACTGTGTCGAAGAAGTCCTCTTATTTTTCATGCAGCATCACGATAAAGAATGAGCGTTTCAGATTTTTAACTGATAAATGCAGAACTCTGACCCAAAAACAAATAGATCAACTTTTGAAAGAAAAAAAAAAACAGAACCTTAGTAGGTTCAGCTGTGTGCTGCATTTTGCTGCCGTAGGGATTTATTTTGCACACCAGTTGCAGATGTGGTCATATAACCTCAGACTGAGGTCGTCCTATCACACTCTGTGCACAGTTTGCAGCACTGATAACATATATACATGTATATTTAAATACGTGATGTGCTTATACATCAAACATTGAAAAGAAAACAAGCAATTCCACATATAAGTGCAGTTGATATAAATAAATTAAAAAAGAAACATATCTTATGTACCTTCCATGTAGTTGCATGGAGGGATGATCACAAGCAGCTTTGCTTCATCTATAAAAGCATTGATTTAGCTCCACTTTCTCCAATGCTAATAACCAACACACTGTACTTCATATTCAGTATTTGTTCATGAAGGGCCTCTTGGGATAAATAATCATGTTTCAAGAGCATCAATTTTCATGCCTGCATCAAAAAACAAAAGTAATGGAAGTAGTGGGAACTAGCTGATTCATTTGCTTTTAGTTTGAGCAGCTTGAGTGCCTCTCGGATCAGCGTAACTGGTGAAAGATGATCCCTACTATGCCAGAGATACAACTGGGAATATCGTAACCTCTGGCGAGTCACACCCAAATCTAATTCAGCTCTGCAAATTTAAAGGAAACATTTTAAATATTAAGGAGTCATTGGATTGTCAAATAAATCTGGGTTGTTTTTTTTGTTTTTTTATTTATTTATGCAAAATTACCTCAATCTGCTTGCATCTAAAATGTACAAAATCAAAATAATGAGGGCAGGATGGCTGCCATGGAGCGCGTGCATTTGTGTGCGTACCCAGGACAGTTTATTTTATCTGATAGTTGACTGTGCCAGGGACAGAGTGGGTGCGAACACAGAGAGAAGCACAGAGTGAAACTGTTGCTTTGTCGAACAGTAGCTTACTCATTTAATGAAGAAACAGACTTTTCTTAACTCTATTGTCCTGTTTTCATTTTGATGTTAGTTTTAACCTCTTTGCTCTCATGGTCTCCTCACAGACCCACTGTCTGATATGTCAGTTAGAAAAAGAGAAACACAATATTGTTTCCTTATATTTATTCTCACTGATAGTAAATATTATTGTCATTATTATTTTGTAGTTTCTTCAGAGGCTGAGCAATAAAGATTTAACTAAGGACTTGTTTGTCTGAAACAAAGCCTTAGGTCATTACGGGTTGGATTCTAAGCCAATGGGGAGATCTGTGGTTTGGATGAAGTCAATCAGCGAGAGGCTAGAAAGCTTCATTATTTTTTCATGAAACGATAATCTCATATTTGACTGGGAAATATCCTGTTTGTACCGATGGCAGAGCAGAACGGAGTTTCTAAATCACAGCTCCCTTCAGCTTTCGTTAGATGCAGCATGCAGAAAAGACAACAGAGAAACAGCAGGAAACATAAAGTTACACACGCCTTATGAAAAGGCACCTTTTTAACTAACATTAAACCTAAACTTCTGCCGTTCAGCATATCCTCTTTGTGTGTCTGTAGTTTCTGTCAGGGTACTCCGGCTTCCTCTTACGATCCAGAAACAAACATGGTGACTGAATTACTTTATAAGTCATAGAATTCAACACAATATAAATGATTGGATTAATTTTATAAAATTGCTTATAGGTGAATATGGGATCTGTTTGTCTTGTGAAGTGATTACATGAGATTACATTGCTGTGAATTTGTTCAGTGTCTTGAGGTTCAGCAATTTCACCAATTTCTACATTATTTAATACATATAAACAGTCAGGAAAAAAAGTCCCTGTGGTGATTAAAAAGCAAAAGTTACAAACCAGAAGGTGTTTTTTGTTTTTTTTCTGGTGGAAACATTTTTTTATCATTATCCCACTCAAACACAAACTACTCTTCAAACGGCTGTACTCTGTCTAGTTTTCCACACTGACAGCCTGCCTGTTACTCCAGTAGCACCATCTGCGCCACGGCGTCTTTAACACGTCTCCATGATAAAAATTTCATACTTTTTAAGACTTTCTTGATTTGACGCAGTGTTTCATAACATTGACATCGCTCTAATTGGGTTTTCCAAACAACACAGTACTCAATTTGACTTCTGATTTGTAAAATATTATTTATCCTGGAGGTTTTTGCAAATCTTTTTGTTTTCTCTTTTTTTTGTTTTTTTTGCATGTGGGTTATCAGATATATATTATATATTATAACACCAAAGATTAAAGATATAATTTAAAAATAAATTATTATTTTTCTTTCTTCAGATTTCTTTAGATTGGAGATGTTTTTTGTCTTCAAGCCTGCACTGAAAAAACTGAAGTCCTAGTAAGATTAAATATCTTAAATTAAGGAAATTTATGCTTGTTTTCTTTCTGACAAGATCATTTTTCTCACCAAGAGAATATTTTTATTACTTTAAGTGTCTTTGTACTAATTATCTCATTAAGGCATAAAATCTTAATATTAAGAAAATATTACTTATTATGAGTAAATTTATGCTACAAACTAGAATATCAGTATTTATCAATCAAACTTCAAGTCTGTAATGAAATTGGTTTTAGTTTCATGGAAATGTTTTGACACAAGCGAACATTTACTGCATCCTCTGTGCACTTCCAGGTTCTTCATGAGCCACTGATTGATGAGGATCCCGTGTTTATCACCACCTGCACAGAAAGAGATCTGAGGAAGAGGAAGAAGAGGAAGTTCAGTCTGTGGGTGCGGCAGTGCACCTCCACCGGATTCATCTGCCAGGTAGAGGCTCCGGCTGAGAGTGAAATAAATAAAACCTGCAGGGCATTTCGACAGAAGCAAAGGAAGGATGTGTTTTAATTTTCTGCTTCGAAACGTGATGGCAAAAATTACTTTATAAATAAGGGAGTGAAGTTTCAGGACGAAATCTGAAAGGCTTTTTGTGAAGCGATGAGCGGCTCTGACCCGGGCTCAGATCTTCGTCTCGACCCGATGCTTGTGTGTGCTGGACAGAGGAAAACAGCTTTGTGGGAATGATGTTCACAAGCTGCAAAATTCACTTTGAAAATTTGATGTAAGCGTGAGAAATGGCTCCTGGGCTAAAACGCTGGTTGCTCGTTTTTTTTTTTTTTTGATGTCACGGAGTGGAGGATTTTCTGGCTTCAGTTTATAATCACAGATAGAGCCGCTGTGCTGACTGACAGCGTTGCCCTCGACGCAACCCTGCGCTCCTACGCTCGTCTCTTATGTAACACCGAGGAACAGAGCTGTCGGATCGGTCCAACCCTCCCAAAAGCTGTGCTGTGTGCACAATTATGTTTTTTTTTTTTTAGAAAAATCTTTTTTTTTAAAGGATTATTTTTATTAATTACCAACTACAACACTCTCGTTTAACCCAAAACGTTAAACTTCAAACAGTGACTGTGTGAGAAACTGAAATTGAGGTTTTGGCGTTCTTTGGGCGACATGAAGACATGCACAAACTCCTGGGAAGAATTATTACCAAACCAAATTAAAAAGACAGCCCCCTCACCTCTCATCTCGCTTTTTTCTATTTTCATCTCTTCATGTGAGAATTATGCACAAAAATCGCAAAACATTTCTGACAGAATCTGTGTTTACGCTGGGTTCAGGTAAAGTTTTTTCATCTTTCAAAGCCATGACACATGAGAGCAAGGCTCGTCATCTATGAGATGGAAACGCCCGCAGAAAGAAGGAAGAGTCTGCCGTCACATCTTCAAGACAATGACCCGATACTCCCACCATGAAAGATTGGAATATTGTTGGAATATTTTAGCTGTTTAACTCATAAATTTAAGCTCTATTTAATTTGAAAATTGCCTGACCAACAAATAAAACAAAAAAAAACAGTTAGAGAAGTACAAAAATACCACATTGTAAATTTACTGCACGGAACCCATAAATAGATTAAATGTAGCATTTTAACTATAAACGCAACAAGTGTTTTGTTAGTTACCCTGTAAAAAAAAACAAAAAAACGCAAGACTTGGTTCATTTTAAAGAGAAATGTCGATACGCTGAAATTAAACCATTGATGTTTAGAAATTATTTTTTTCCTTTACATGAAAGCAGCTGTTATTATTTATTATTTATTCATAGATTTCTTGTGCTTTTATTCAAAGAAAAGTACCTTTTATGCGCTGTGCTTTGTACGCTAACGCTAAGTTCCATTAACTCGTCCATTTCAGAGAAGAAACAGCCGTTTAGCAGAACATCCTCCTTTACCAGTTTGCTGCACACCAACTTGAGTCTCCACTGGCGTATTCTTCCTCTGAATCAGGAAAAAGGAAAGAAAAAATGTGACTCATTAGTCTATTGCACTACAAAATAACATCCAAGCACCTCTCCACTCAGCTTAATGGCTCCATAACTAATGTAGATCTGGGATAATCAGACTAAAGCCATTTGATTCAGTGCAGAGTGGAAAAACTAAACTGTTTGCAAACCGTTTCTGTTTTTTAATAAGTGATTACAGTTCTGAGTTGATGTTACTTTTAAGACGTACAGATTTAATGCCCTGTTTGCAAAAGTCTCTCTACAAACAAGCAACAATATGGGAATTTTGCTAAAATCAGCTCGCCGTTTGGCCGTTCTGTACCTGACGCGCCGTCTGGTTTCCGCCCACTGTGCAGATCTCCGTCCATCTGAAGGAGGGACAGGGCACAGATGGACTGGCCACCTTGAAGAACAAGCCCCAGCTCCACAGCCTCGTGGCCAAGCAGCTCTGCCAGAACATCTCCGGCAAGAACGCCATCATCTTCACGGGGCCGTCCATCACGAGCCTCGGCCTCTTCTCTGAGTTCAGCAAGCAGGGTAACCAAGCAGACAGCTTCCTCTTCTTTGTCTTTGGAGGACATATTGTAATCTCACTCATTGTCTTATCCACCTTTGCCTTTGTACAAATTTGATTTGTTTATTTCGTTTTAAAGCGGGGTTGATGGCGTAGTATAGGCAAGACTAGTGGCAACACAAAAGCTCAGAGCTTGGATTCTCATTATATTTCAGCCTTCAGCCGTTGAACATGAACAGTTTTGACTGCAGTGACCTTTTACACCCAAAATTGTGTTTTCCTGTTTGTCTTGATTTTAGCAAACTAAACCTATAGTTTCTTCCCTCACCCCTACCCTGATTCCAGATCTTCACTTTGAAGACCAGAAAAAGTTTTTACAGAGAGACAAGCAGCAGTTCAAAGCAAGAGTCTCATCACGACTAACTCTCTCACTGATCCACTCGTGAACACGGATGCCTTGTTGAGTGGATTTCCAATGAAAAGTCCTCTTTTTATTACAATTCTTTAAAATATGAAAGCGAAAACAATAATCTGTGGTTTCCTTGGTCTTCCTTGGAGTTCAACCGAAAATGAAGGAAGTCCAGGATTTTCTCCATTTACACATCAAAACTAAAGACTGCTCACCCTCACTTCCATCTCTGAAGATTTACATCACAGAACAAATCGTTGCTCCGTAGAATAAATGCACCGAGAGTGTGTGCTTCAGCACAGGTCGGAGCCGATCAAGGGGAAATTGGTCCGATTAATCAGCGCCTAATTAATTTATCAAGACAAGAGTAACTGGCGCCTCTCTACAGTCAGACGTTGTCCCGCTAATGAAAATGGGTTTATTTAGGACTTTGCACTTAATCCAAGAGAAACCAATCAGTGTATAGATTTCAGTTTTACTTATAAATAGAATAGCTCTGCTCCCAGTTAGTTCTTTAAGTTCTTGTTTTCTTATCAATGGCATCTTTTTAGTGCAAAGCAAAAGACATACCACCTGGCAGCACTTCTTTATTCTAAACAAAAACCAGAGAAAGTGAAGCAACAGCACATTCACTCCGTTATGCTAGGCAGTGATCAGTCTGGAGTGTCCCTCCACCAGGACGACTAAATGGCCACAGGAATGATCAACACTGTGTTATCACAATTAGTAGCAGCTGTAAACATCCCCCCACGAAAAATATATGTTTCTCTTTTCTCTGTTCAGATATCTACTGCTGTGGCTTGCTGAGCACCAGGAAGAGTGACTGCACAGGTTTGCCCCAAAGCATGCTGGTCTGCAGCTCAACGCCGGCGCAGCGCGGACAGTCACGCGTGATGATGAAGGGCAGCATGTCTCTGATCAGCTGGTACAATAAGGGACACTTCAGGTTCATTACAAATGCCTACTCACCAACAAAAGAAGGTGAATAAGTAAATGAGATCTTCTTCAATGTGTCCTGTTAAACTGTGTTAGGTTGAAATATCTGTTTCTAACACACAATTTGCATTGCTGCATGAAAGGAAAACTGTCTTCTGATCAGGTGAAATAAAATTCAACATTGTTCTGTGATGCGAGTTTGCCATCAGTAGACTCCCCACCCCAATATCAAGCATTCCTGACATTGAGAAACAACCAGAGCTTTTAATCCACAATAATCCTTTTTTAGGCACAGAGAGGATCATGATATTGCATAAACACACGAATACTGTCTAATCCACTTTGTTAAGTTTTAAATCCAGCCGTGTTCCTGCTCTGTGCTGAAGGAGTGTGGAAGTGAGGAAGCAGATAAACGGTTACTATCTAGTATTGATTTTCTTTGGCCCGTATGTGTGTGTGGGAGTCTGTGTGGGAATGCTTTGCCCATCTGGCATTAATAGCAAAATAGCCTCTAATCCTTCCAATCTACCACAGATGATTGATATCTGTGCTAATAGTGTCACGTTTTAATTTCCGCGATTGAGCAAAATGAACATGTGTAACAAAATAATGCAAAAATGGTGACAGGTATGTTCACATGGATTTATTTCTTCCTCCAGTTCTCTCTGCTAACCCTCAGCTCTTTGCTGTGTGGGCTTTTTTCTCCGGTAGGAGTGATTATTAAGAGGAAAAGTGGAGAAATACCGTGCCCTCTTGCCGTCGAAGCCTTTGCGGCGCATCTCAGCTACATCTGCAAATACGACGACAAGTACAGCAAGTATGTGGAGACCTGACGGTGCCTTTGCATGGGGCTCGCATGTCCTCCATGAGTATGTGTAGGTTCTCTCCAGGTACTCAGTACTGGCTAGATGAAACTAGCTAGCAGGCTACTCCTACACTTGGCAGGATGAACTTCAAAGTAATATTGTAATTTCACCAGAACGTTTCTACTGTCTGGATTTTTCTGAAATAATTCTTACTTGGAAGTCACTGAGAATCAGAGGACGGAGCAGAAGATTGCTTTGAGCAAAGACTTTGAGCTCATTGCTAAGATTGAATAGTCAAACAACCTTTTGAGACATGCTGAAAGCTGCCTTGCTATTATATAAGGGCTTTTTTTTCATTTGTTTGTTTTGGGGTTTATTTGCTTTTAAAAAATGTTTCCATTGATTATTGAGATGTTAATTGAATTTTCAGAAATTATTCTCAATTTACAACATGTTTTACTTTGAGAGTCCCGTCTCATTTCTATCATAAACAAACATTGTATTGAACAGAAAATCATTTTAGGATCTAAATTTAAACATAATACCCCGGGTTACGGTGACCACTGTGAAACGAGTGAAAAACAGAGCTAGTTCAATAAAATAAAAAAAAAGTCGATGTACTGTTTTTAGTTTTTTACAAAAATAAGCAGATTTTTTTAATATAAGTGGTTTATTCATCTGTTCTACTCCTAACATATTATTTTGTATCTGTCCTTCATTTCAGTGTAGAAGACATAATCCAATAGGAAAATATCACTCCAACATCGCCTTGCAAACAATAAACGCTTTAGCACATTTTATTTCCCATTTAAGCCGACCTGAAAGGGGGTCAACTGGTGCTGCTGCATGGGCACTAAAGGCCTCACAAGTCATTTTTTGTTGTTGTTGTTTCTTTCTTATAGATATTTTATCTTCCACAAGCCCAACAAGACTTGGCAGCAGGTATTCTGGTTGAGCATCAGCATCGCCATCAATAACGCGTACATCCTCTACAAGATGTCCGACGCCTACGCCGTCAAGCGCTACAGCCGAGCGCAGTTTGGAGAGAGACTGGTCAGGGAGCTGCTGGATCTGGACGACTGTTCCCCCACACAGTGAGATGAAAGAGGAGGACGAAGAGGAGGATGAAGACAGAAATACAATCTCTCCCACATGTTAATTTCCACTTGGTTGTACAGGCCTCCTGGGTCTGTGTCAGTGTGCCAAGCTCCCGTCTCTCTCTTCCTGTAGTTGTTAATTTCTGCCCCTGTAAATATTCACTGACACACAACTGCACTGTATGCATTATTAAGAGCCACCTGGGGTAGCTCCCCCCCTGCCTCAGCTGCTACTGTTAGCCACACACTTCTGGCGTCAGCAGAATCAGAGATGAAACGAGAAACAACAAAACGAGTCGGATTTCACTCAGAAATGATGTCACCTTAAAGTTTTTAGTCTTATCAAAGAGTTCAACTATTTAACAATTTAATAAGCCTGAATTAAACTGAAAATGTCTTAAAAAAAAAAAAAGCGAAAAAAACTAAAAACACACTTGGCACCTTGTAACAAAGTCCGAGTAAACACGACACTGCATGCATTGAGAATGTAGATTGTGACGTTTGTGTTGTTAAGTGTGGAAAAGATTTTAGCTCCAGGCGAGCTGTGAAATAATTGTGTGTGTGCGTGTCTGTGTGTGTGTGTGTGTGTGTGCGTGTGTGTGTGTATGTGTTCAGTGAGTAGAACTGCCATTTGTGTGTCTGATGTCAAGCCTGAGGATTGAAGCGTGTGACACCTGTGACCCAAATGTGTCGTTATGTTGCACACCATGTTCACTAAGGGTGCATCGTCAGTAAAAAGGGATGCCTCATACAGGACCGTGTCCATCTGCCCATCATAGCTGCCCGCATCAGAAAAATCCTGACGAGAAAGCCATAAAGTTCCCGCTGGAGCTGTAGTGTTTTTTTTTTTTTTTTTATTCTCTAACTGTAATGGTAAAAACAAACAGAAAAACCAACATAAATTACATCCATACAGGGTTTTGCAAAAGTATTCATACTACTTGAACATGATACGTGGCTGCATATCTTCAGTAGAGACAAAGAAAGCTTTCTAGAAGGATGGAGGTAAATGCGGAGCAGACCTGGGAGCAAACCTCTCAAGAGGCTGCAAAAGCCTTAAGACTGTGGCAGTCTTAAGGTCGACCTCTTCATTACAGGGGTCGACCTTCTGGCAAACCGGAGAGGTGATGGAACGATTTTAGCTCAGAACGTCTTCCTGTCGACGTCCGTACCTAAATCCTCTCCGTCCAACCCGACTGAGCTTGAGCTGTTTGCAGAGAGGAAGTGGCTGAGATTGTCTGTCACTGCTGCATTCAAAAGAATGCCTCACAATTTAGTTTTTTCTTCTTTTTTTTCTTTTTACTGAAAACTATGCATCATTTCCCTTCCTTTCCTTACATACTACTTTGTGTTGGTTTGTTTAATCCCAGTTTGAAGTTTTGTGAGTTATGTGACATAATGTGAAACAGTTCAAGTGGGGTGAATACTTTGGGAGGCTCTGTGTGGTTTGTTTTAGGAGATTAACTGATTAATTAAAGTGACTGATTTGTTTGATTATATATATATAATCTAACAAAAGGTTGTTTGTTTGTTTGTTTGTTTTTTTAAATTACATTAATTTCTTCTTAATTACTTTTTTTTTAAACTCGTAACTTCATTACACTGTTTACATCCAACTAAGCATTTAATTGCCGGTGCCATTGTTTTTGGCAGGAGTCCTTTCCCTCCTCCTGCTTCACAGTGAGGTATAACTGAGTTTTGGAGGGCAGGAAACGTCCGAGCACGCCGCCGTTGCCAGGCGGTGAGTACAGACTTGGCCGCTGTTCAGGGCTCCGTTCAGATAGTAACGTTTGGCCAGATTTACTGTGGAAGCGGAGAGCAAAAACGGGTCTGGAGGCAATCAGGTTAAGATGATGATAGTCGTGGTTTGACTTTGATGTGACGCAACAAAATTATACAAGTAAGACGGCGAGTCGTGTTACAAAGGGATTTTATGAGATAGAAGAGGATTTTTGTAGATAGTATTTCTCAGTGTGGCATTAGCCTCTGGAGAGAAGCCACCTTTTCCTCGTCTGAGCTCAAACTGCGCCATATTGCCGTCTGAAGAATGACTCACCTGGCTTGGCTGAACATGGTGGGGCTTCATTCCTGTTGTGATGCTGGGAAAACATTATGAAGAGTTTTATATGTGTGAAAAGTATTGCGTCAGCATGGTTCGGTGTGTGAATACATGATGTTACAGTGATACGACGGCATTCGTTTAGTGATTCACTCATTCACCTTTCCATCATCCCCATCACAGTCTTGCACTTTGAAAGCTTTGAAGCTTTTCATTTTGGGCAAAAAAAAAAAAAAAAAAGTCAAACATACATTGGTGGTGTGGGTGAGATCTGTAAATATAGGTAGAGAAATGACTAATATATATGTGAAAATACACAAACGATTATAGGGTGAAAATGAAAGAGAAGATCTACAACAGAAGGGATGTCCTTTTGGTTTCATTTTAATAACCACTCCGTCTCTCAGACTGAAGATTGTGATTTCTTTTTATCCTCTCACTAACCCAGACCATAGCTGTTGATAGTCTTGTGCGTGTGAACCCCTGAACTTTGTAAATGAATGTTTCGGACTGCCAACAACTGACACTGTTTATCCGATGGCGCGCATCTCTCATGTCACCTCATGATTTTAACACGTTTGATATTATGTCATCACTCAAAGACATGAATTATTGACTGAACATATTTTTTTTTATGTCGACAGGTTCCACATAATTGCATTATGTTAGTTGAAAGAAAAACAGATGCGGCAATCTAGCATTATAACTTTATGTTTAAGATAAAATGAATTAATTAACCCAACTAATTCAAATCACTTCACATTCACAAAATAGAAGTTAGTTGAACTAACTTAACTTTTTTGTGTTAGTCTGACAAACACTCTTTCAGTGAACTTATGTTTTATTCATTCACTAAACATAAACAAATTATGTTACTTTAACAAATGAGATTAGCTTTCCATCAACCAATATGTTTGGTTGATGGATACAAAACATTGTCTTTCATTAAATCAGTCTGAAAATAATCCCACAATAATAATATTTTTGATCATCTTGCTGGTTGCCCTACATTTAGCTGCATTCTCCTCCATTCACAGCTGTGTGTCTTTGTTGCTTTACTGACCCACACAAAGTGTGATGAATGGACGTGTCTCTGTTCCGACAAGGCAAATGTCTGAAGTACCATCTCAGTGTGTCCTCCAGAGGTCATTTGATGCAGAGAAGCATCTAAACCATACAGGATGTTGGACAGGGCGCTGACACTGAAGTACTGGATTTAGGTGGACAGTAAAGTTTTTTGTTTGTTTTTGTTTTTTTGTTTTTTTTAGCACCAATTGTGCAATCCGCTCCCATGTCCAGATCATGGACCAATTAGACGTTGGTCCATAAGATGTTCAAACTGTTTTATAAACTAACCCTGCATTAAACATCTCCACACCTCTATCATTGGCATGTCTGCTGTGTTCCTTACTCTTCCTGATGCTGTTTGTTCACCAATGTTCTGTTTAATATGTACAAAAAAAATGAAAACAAAGGCAAGAAAATATCTGACACATGGATACCTTAAAGCCCCTAATTAGGGCTTAAGCATCTATATGTCCTGTCTTTGGAAAACACTGCCCGACCCTGTACAGTTTGTTAAAACAGTAAAAAGAAATGAAAAAAAAAAAAAAGCTAGTGGAAGCAACTAAACACCAAAGCGTTTTTCACTTTTGAACTGTCCGTTTCTTTGCCGTCCATGTAGTGGACTTCCAGAGACATATATAGACAAAATCACAATTTTACCTTTTCAACATGCAAATGAAAAATCATGGATGCTTTGTTTATTTTTACCAATAGACTGGAGTGAATGCTAGAAAGCCTTTAAGATGATTTAATTTAAAAGTGATTTAATTTTTCTTTTTCCAGACCAAACAAAAGTTGCACCAATGCTGAGCAGTAAATATGAAGCTGTTGGATAGAAAAAATAAATAAAATAGAACATATAATATCCAGTCAATGTGTTTGTTACTGAACTTATCTTGGGATTTATTTATTTAGTTAGTTTTCATCCTGCTTTTATTACTCCTCTCAAAGCATATATTACTAACAGGGGGGCTTTGTAAACCACAGTTGCTTGGCAACATATTCAAAGGGTGGAAAAAAAGGGCAGTTTTTGAAGTTCTTTTCTTTTCAATAAAATATCGTTATCACCTCCAGCTGCAAAGAGAGCGGAGCAGCTTCAAGTGGCCCTCCTATTCTCCATGTTCCAGAAGAGATGCAGCTTTTTACGTCATAATGAGGCTTCTTTGTATTGCAGCCAGTGTACATGAAAAACATGCACTCTTTATGTTTTCTGGGTCATAAACAGCATTGTAGAAAATCACTTTCGGTCTTCGTATGCTGCTGTCTCTTAGGTGAACAGAAGGCAATGGAAATGATTAAAAACTGGAGCTTTTTACAAACCGAGAAAACATTTGGTATTTTGAGGACAACAAAGAATGCCTTTCTAAATCAACAGATTTTTTTATGAAACTTATGCCACTGTATCTTATCCTCACCGTGTATGTCTAATTATGAGTAGTGTGATAAAACGTCCATTGTGATGATTTGTTTTAATGTGTACTAAAAGGCAGCTAAGATTAAAAAAATAGGCTTAATATTAACGATGAACTAGTCGGTGAGGCTCCCATTAAATCTAGAGGAAGTTTTCTCACCTGTGGCATCGAAGATACAAGCATCATAAACCCAGAATATTGCCAGTCTGCTCTAAGTAGTCGTGCAGTGTAATTTTATTTGTAGTCACAAATAGTCTACATTCTAAATATTCCAATTAAATTCCCCTGGAAGTGAACGTGGGTCACATTTGACCAACTTATGGAAGCTTGGAATAAAAACACCAAACACTAACTTTTGAAAAATTCATGAGAGGTTTGCTGAACTATTGACACGATGTACTGCCAGCAGCCCATTTTCAGATAAATAGCTGAAATATGAAATAAATAGCGACTTTGTCTTTAAGATAGTGCATGAAAACAAACCTCACCAGGTCATTTTGATCTATTTATTTAAAGGTTTCCAGGGTTAAATTACAGCTTTGGAAGCAACTGGTTTGCTCACAAAGCTGTGCAGCTGCAGCGAATAGTTGCATGTAATGTGAAAGTGGACAGGCAGAGGGCAGCAAATCCCTAATTTCCCCTTCTTTTTTCCCAGTCAGTCTATTGATCCTGACTGAGGTTAAACTGATTATAACTGGCCTGAGCATTACAGTGAGACTGTAACTGGATTATATTCCTGCCTTATTGATGACATGCTCAATAACAGACTGTCCGGCGAAGCTCCTAGAAACTGAAGGTAACTGAACCTCCAGAAAAGAAAGACAGTTTGGCAAAAAAAAAATAAAAAAATAATAATAATAATAGTAATAATGTCTTGTTTTTCCATCTTCAAAGCTGAAGAAGCTTTCAAAGAAAATATTATTCCACACCCCCAACAGAGAGTGGTGGAGAAAGTGTGTGTGTGTGAGAAAGAGAGAGAGGATGAGAGAGAGGTGGTGAGGACTGAAGCAGACTCTCCCATGCCTGAAAGCAAGAATCACAATGATTTGTACAGAACTGGGCGGCCTGTGGTGAAGTTACACAATGAAAAGATCAGAGGAGCCGACCGGCAGCTCATCTCTGGGGTTCCAACAACCACAACCACAAAGCTTCTGAGAAGAACCGACAAACAGGAGAAGTCGGATCAGAGGAGGTCACCTCCAGGAGAAGCAACTGCAGCAGCACACAGGCCTGCAGCAACAGGCCTCGTTGATCTGCAGCTCTGGCTTTAATCGCCTCGTCCCGCTTTGGGGACGTTGCAAACGCGGATGTTGGTTGCTGTTGGTTTTCACAGTGAAACAAGCAAACGGGAGACTGAGAGACCGTGTCGCTGTCAGAAACCGAGTCTGTGCAGCAGCGAGAAGCAAACACGTCAAGATGCTGAAACTTTGACTTTCTACAAATAGACGCAAACATTCAAAAATCCTGCTCTCACAATGTCTACCACATTTACACTTAATTCGTAAAAATGTCAAAAGCTAACCCTTTGAACTTTATTGTAGAGTTAATTCCTTTATAATTGGTGTATTCTTTCTCAATCTCAGGATCCCAAATATGTGGAAAAAACGAAAAATCCTGATTCAAAAAAGCGAGGGTTGAACATCATGTTCATCAAAATGAAGCCAAGAGGGCAGAAAAGGATGTAAGATGAGTTAAAGTTCAGAAAATTCCTGCTTTATTTAAAGGATTCTTAGTTCAAAAAGACAAGAATCGACATGTGAAACCAAGGAGAGCATCTCTCTGTGCTAACGCACTGCAGCTTTGCACTGAACAAAGCATTAAAAAGTATAATTACATAGTTCATAACCCCATGCTTGCAGCATGTTCTTCTAGGAAACAAGGTTGTGTAAAAATGAATGATTCCACATAGAAGCCAGAAAAGATGAACACGTTTTCTAATAAATAAACACATAAATAAAAATATTCAGACTTCTGCTGTCAACTCGATTGCTTGTCTGAGATCCCAAAAACAGAGCTTTCACCAGCATGAATCCTTTTTAAAAGCCTTTGACTTTTAACCAATCTGTTGTCAGTTTATCGAACCCTGATGACTCATCATCTTAAAAAAAACAGATGTCAATATTTTTTGCCTCCAAATCCCCTTTGCGATGAACTCTCTCTGCTGTCTTTCTTTGACTTCATAAAAGTTGTCACGATGACACAATCAAAGAGCCCTGACTGGTATGAGAAGACATAAAACCAGGGTCAAACATTTATTTTCTGCGTCATTAAACGTAACAAAGTGAAACAAACTCAGACTGTTTTATAGGAAAACCCTCAGACACTGAACGCTTGAACTGTTGTGATGGGGAATGATTAAAAAAAAAGAGGTTTTATTGGTGCTCTCTTGTAATCTCATCAGAACAGCAGGATGATTTTTTTTTTCTTAAATCTTTTCGGTAACCTGTTATTTTCAGCTATTCCAGTCCTTTTTCTCAGCTGGTCTCACCTCTCACCTGTTCTTTGTTTCCAGTTACCGGTTCACTTTTGGAGTATTTAAACCACTTGTTTTTCTTCACTCCTTCTTAGATTTTATGATCTTGTTGTTAGGAATTTCCGAGGAACAGACTATTTAATTCAGTCTGTCAGCTTTTTTTTTTTCTTTTGTTTTTTTTTTGGGAACATTCAATTAAGTTTAAGCTTTTCAGGAATGCGACGAGAGTTCAATTGTGACAGTGACCAATTATCCAATTATGTGTCATTTTGGTGTAAAGACAAAATAAAAAAAAAAATAAAAAAACTTTTTCTTTTTTTTTACTTTTGAAAATAAATGTTACTATTGTTAATTGTGTTGTTGTTTTCAAGAACAAGAACAAAAATTTAATTGGACATCACTTAGTTTTCATGTCGACAAGTTGGTGGATGCCAACCAAAGTGTTGAATCTGATTATTACTATCAGATTTTTGCAAAGCCGTGACATCCTCATCTGGGCCGTCCCATGTTGTTAATCATGTAAACCTATGAATAAATAACTACATCTGTGACATATTCTAATCTTGCTTAATCTTTTGTGAATTTGGCAAATAGAAGTAATACAAGTTGTTCTATGTGATCTAAACCAAGAGAAGTTTACCCTGATTGAATTTAAACTGATGAGAAAAAAAAAAGTTTATGTTTCTTTTTCTTGGGTGTATCTGCACTTCTGGTTTCAACTGTGGATGGATCAGAGAAAAATGATAGATCAGTTTTCAAATCCTGTTTTGTAAATACGCTTCCAAAAATCTTAGGCTCTCCTTTCACTTTGACAACGCTAAATAAAACCCTAATGCACCCAACTGCCATCAGAAAGCACAGCAAACATCTGGAAGAAAGTGCTACAGTCACTCAAATCCAGTTCATGGAGGAGGAAAAAACCCCACAACTCATTCATCTGTGAGAATGGAGCTGTTAAAGTTTATATCCGAGTCTATTTAAAAGCCAGGGGAAAGACTTGAACATTAATGTTCATAGGCTCTCGCCATCCAATCCCAAATGAGTTTGAGCTTTTTGGCATTCCCAAAATCCTTGAAGATGTAAAAGAGTTGTCCAAAATTAGCCTTTTCCACATCACAATTCACTACTCTTTGGCAGTCTGTCGTGTAAAATTTCAATAAAACTCATGGAAGTTTGTGATTTTAATAGGAAAAAAAAAACCGTGAAAAAATACCAAGTATTTGAGTAAATTTGGACATCAGGAAGATCTTATAAATGTTTTTTTCACCCTTATATCAATGCATAAAAAAGAATTAAAAATTCCTATCTGCTCCAAACAGCAGACTCCCTGTTTGGGGACCAAAACTTACCAATTCAACGAATTCAGCTGAAGCCACCGAGTTGCACAATAAATCTAACGCCTACTGTGAGTCCTGACAGATCATGAAACATTA